CCTTAGAAGACATTTGACTATAAGGTGACTGTTTGATTGATTTCTTGGAATAAGATCTAAAATTCCGTTGGAATTTTTTGAAAATAAAATTTGAATAGAGTTCCGAAATTGTGGAAAGTTCTTTTCATCAGGTAAAAACCTTTGGGCTGCTGACTTTGAGGGAACCTTAATTTTATGGTGAAATGTTAGACAAGGAAGTAATGACCGAGTCTCTTATTGCGAATAAAATTTTGGTTCCTGTACAAGATACTTGGCTAAAGGGTGATCGTTTGTTTGATTTCTTTGAATGAAATCCGAACTCCTTAAAACTTTCCAAAAAAAAGAGGAAAGGGAAGCATTGAAATTTTAAATAAAATAAAAAGAAACGGCACTTTATTTTGAAAAAAGATTTTTGAAAAAAAGAGAAGTTGAAATTTGATCACGTACTTTTGAAAATAAATTGGGGCACATTTCGGGAAACAATAAGTAAAGGAAAGACAATTGTTTAGATTGATCACTCTGGCAAGAATCCTTTAAATTCCTCAGAATTCCCTTGGTCAGGCAACTATCACCCAATGGGTGATGACGATGACTTTGAGATCCAATTAAAAGTGTTAAACAAAATTGACTGGTTCCATTCACCTATCCTCGGGTTTGTTGCATAGTATCCCGGACACTATTCGTGGGTTATGTTATGTCAATAAGGCAAGCATGCGCCTATGCTTCTAGTACTGTTTGATCGTTCCCTTGTGGAAGGTGTGGTATATTGATAATAACAACTGATGTGCCCTTTTGTGACCAAACTTACCTTCTTTTACATGGAGAGAGCATTAGCAGCTTCCAAACTAGGCAGGATACCCTTCTTTCCAGGATTGTATTATTTCCACTTTGAATGATTCAGTGAATCCTAGGTCTGACTTCTAAATTTGGACAGGGCAACCCTACCCCCCAAATAGGCATGAATGCAAATTATGTGCTTATGTGATGTTTTGGAAATGATTTGATTTATTCCAGCGATCTAATAACGAGAAAGACAGTGATTTTATTCCCAAAGTCTGGGGAGTCTGACGTGGCAGTGATTTGATTCTATGGCAATCCGTGTTATTTGGGAGCAATGATGCAGTTACAAAGATTTGGGGGTTCAATTTAGGCAGTGATTCATATTTTGATCATGATTTGAGTAAGCAGTAGTAAATTAGGGGGGTGGTTTCCTATTTTTAAAGAATTTGAGTTTGAATTTGGGTTCTTACCTTAGGGATCAAAGAAGAAGAGGAAAAAAAAAGAATGATTGCCTTTTTAAAATTTAAATCCCCAAGAAAACATGTTATTAAAGAATAACTTCTAAAAAAAAAGAACTTTCCAAGTTAAGTATAGGCTTGGAGATTATCGAAGGTGTTTGATCGAATAGGGATTTTTAAGTCATTTACTTTAGGGTGAATTTCGACTTTTATGAAAAATTGTACATAAGGAAGTGGTGACCAAATCTTCAATTTTGAATAAAATTCGAAATCCCCTGGAAAGGCATTTGACTAAGGAGACAATTGTTTGATTAGATACTTGGAATAAGATCGAGGGCTCCTTGGGAGGAAAGAATTGTGAAAGAAAACCCCGAGTAGAATTTTAGAAATTATGGAAAGTTTTTTATCAGACAGAAATCTTTAGGTTTTTGACTTTAGAGGGAATTTGATTTTATGGAAAAGTGTTGATGAGGAGGTGATGACCGAGTCTTTCACTTTGAAGTGAAATTTTGAATTTCCTTAGACGACATTTGACTATAAGGTGACTGTTTGATTGATTTCTTGGAATAAGATCTAAAATTCTTTTGAAATTTTTTGAAAATAAAATTTGAATGGAGTTTCGAAATTATGGAAAGTTCTTTTCATCAGGTATAAACCTTTGGGCCGCTGACTATGAGGGAACCTTAATTTTATTGAGAAATGTTAGACAAGGATGTAATGACCGAGTCTCTCATTTCGAATAAAATTTTGGTTCCCGTACAAGATATTTGCCTAATGGGCGATCGTTTGGTTGATTCCTTGGAATAAAATTTGAACTCCTCAAAACATTCGAAAAAAAAGAGGAAAGGGAATCATTGAAATTTTAAAGGAAAAAAAAATGGCACTTTATTTTGAAAGACGATTTTGAAAAAAATAGAAGTTGAAATTTGATGACGCACTTTTGAAAATAAATTGGGGCACATTTCGGGAAACAATAAGTAATGGAAAGACAATTGTTTAGATTGATCACTCTGGTAGGAATCCTTTAAATTCCTCAGAATTCGCTTGGTCGGGCAACTATCACCCAATGGGTGATGACGATGACTTCGAGATCCAATGGTAAGTGTTAAACAAAATTGACTGGTTCCATTCACCTATTCTCGGGTTTGTTGCATAGTATTCTGGACACTATTCGTGGGTTATGTTATGTCAATAAGGCAAGCATGAGACTATGCTACTAGTACTGTTTGATCATTCCCTTGTGGAAGGAGTGGTATATTGATAGTAATAACTGATGTACGCTTTTGTTGCCAAACTTACGTTCTTTTGCATGGAGAGAGCATTAGCAGCTTCCAAACTAGGGCTGGATATCCTCCTTTCCAGGATTTTATTATTGCCTCTTTGAATGATTTAGTGAATCCTAGGTCTGACTTCTAAATTAGGACAGGGCAACCCTACCCCCGAAATAGGCATGAATGCAAATTATGTGCTTATGTGATATTTTGGAAATGATTTGATTTATTCCAGCGATCTAACAACGAGAAAGACCGTGATTTCATTCCCAAAGTCTGGGGAGTCTGATGTGGCAGTGATTTGATTCTATGGCAATCCGAGTTATTTGGGAGCAATGATGCAGTTACAAAGGTTTGGGGGTTCAATTTAGGCCGTGATTCGTATTTTGATCATGATTTGAGTAATCAGTAGTAAATTAGGCGGGTGGTTTCCCTATTTTAAAGAATTTGATTTTGAATTTGGGTTCTTACCTTAACGATCAAAGAAGAAGGGAAAAGAAAAGAATGATTGCCTTTTTAAAATTTAAATCCCCAAGAAAACATGTTATTAAAGAATAACTTTTAAAAAAATAGGAACTTTGCAACTTATGTACAGCCTCGGAGATTATGGAAGGTGGATGATCGAATAAGTATCTTTAAGTCATTGACTTTAGGGGGCATTTCGACTTTTATGAAAAATGGTAGATAAGGAAGTGGTGATCAAATCTTCAATTTTGAATAAAATTCGAAATTCCCTCGAAAGACATTTGACTAAGGAGGCAGTTGCTTGATTAGATACTTGGAATAAAATCGAAAGCTCGTTGGGAGGAAATAATTGTGAAAGAAAACCCGAGTAGAATTTTAGAAATTATGAAATGTTTTTGATCAGACAGAAATCTTTAGGAATGACAATTGTTTAAATTGGGCACCGCCCACTGCCTATGCCTTGTTTTTTTTTTTTTGTGACACCTGTTATTTTTAAGTTTTCTGTGACTGTGCCTTTGCACTGATAGGTGATGAAAATAGCCAAAATTGTTGGGGTGTATGCTCCCCTCAAGACTACATCTTCTCCATACTCCCTCAGGACTCTATTTTGTAGGCTCCATAGTTTTGTGATTTGAACCATTCATCTCGTAGTTCAAAGAGAAGAATATATTTATAAAAATTTAGCTTGATCGGACATCGATCGATACACTTACTAATCGTGTTTCATTTTATGAAAAGTCTTGAGCAGAGCTGCTCCCAAAACGTTTGAGTGAATTTCATGAGACTAAAAGTCCATGTGGTTTGGGACTTGGGAGGTTAAGACTAGATGTAGACCTTGTCTTTCCCCTATTTGCAGAAAGTGGTTGCTCTCTGACTCGAGAAAACATTCTTATGCTTGTCAGTGTTGTACTAAATAATGATGTGGACGCATATTTGACAGAGCCCTATTATGTTCATCAAATTGATGAAGTTGTATATACTTAAAAATGAATGTTCTTGTGGTAGATACACGATGGTTCCAGCTTCCTTGTACCTGGGATTTTCTGCTTCAATAATATGGGTTGCGGAGGTACAAGTCCATCTTTTAGATTTGGTTCGTCACTTTGTTGTGTTTGATGATGTAATAAGTACATTACTTTTTCCCTAACGATATTATAGTCCATCAGGGTACATATCTTACTTCTACAGCATGCAGTCATGCACATGATTTAAACTTAGAAGAAGGAAACGTGATTGGTAACTTCAATGGAGAATTTTGGGGAATGTTTGCAGGTCACCAGGTGCTGCATTTTAGTTTTTGATGACAATTTTAATGATCTTTGGTTCTAATAATAATATATTCAATTTGTTTTGTATGGATGTTGTTCATCTGGAATAATCTTCATTTTTTTATTGAATTTTGCTGTTCGTTGGAAACCTCATGTCTCTTTTTCTATTGAAAGATGGAACGGTATGTGCATGCTTGTGATTCCAAGCTGATTTCCATGTCCTATATTTTTCTATGTTGTTTGTTGTATTACCAGTACCAATTCATTATCATAGATTTAGTTATTAATACTTGCATTACACTCGAGAAACTCTGACCTTCATTGTACGAAAAAAATTATTTAATGTTAAATTTCTCTTTTGCATCTCTAATGCAATTTTAGCTATAAGTTAGCACTGAAAAATAAAGATGGCAGAAAGATGAGGGGAGTCCTATTTATTATGAAGTGAATGATTTTTATTTCGTTTTTTTCCCCCTCTATGGCTAAGGGAGGCTTTCCCTTTTTCTTTTGTTTCTTTATTAATTTCTTTGGTGGACGTTTTAATGCTAGTTTTTTTTTTAAAAAATTTTAAAAAAGGGATAAAATCAAGGGTCCCAAACCTTTTTCGATAATCTCGAAATCAATCAATGAAGAGAGTTTCAAGAGGAATGACTTCCCTTAGTTGGTTTGAGTGGCATAGCCCATTGGAGTAGTTGTCTAACCGTGGGAAACAATTGTATAGCCATGTTGACAAGTAGAGCTATAGAGTTTTCGACATGGTTGGCTCCCATTTTTGGCATTCCTTTTGTTAGAAAATTGTCAAGTTGACAAATTTGACCGTTCCATTCTGCGAATCCTTCACACCTCTACCCAAGTATCTGAAGGGTATCAAGGTCTAAAAAAAAAAAGTTGATACAGTATCCAACACGTCAAAAAGTGTCCAATGAGTGCTAGTGCCGGACATGCATCAAACATGGATACGCACCTTCTTAGTTGTGTCAAGAAGTGTATGTGTTTCTTGGGTTGTTCAATATATATATTTTTAAGATAGCAAATAAAATATTAAAGTACACATAAATTACTTGTATTAAAAAAAATAAATAAGGATATTCAATGGCACACCTTTAATCCTATGTAGTGCCGTCCTTGACAGCAATATACCACTATCTTTCATTTGGTTGTGGAAACCTCAGTGTCAGAATCTATGATTTTTTAGTTCTTTTAAAACACTCGCATCTTTAATTTGTTGTTCTTTCTTTCATATCACTGCAGGGGGGAACTACCAGTGGCAGTGGCACAACTTTACTATATATTGTGTTTGTTTGTAGTATGACCTTAGGTACCATACTCGTGCTTCTTACAAAAGAGGGATGCTAAAGGAGAGGAGACTTTACCAGATTCTTCTGTCAGTTTCTGCTCTTCCATTGTTTGACTTACGAATGCTATTAATCATCCCCCTTATTGCATATTCAGGCTTACAACAAGCATTTGTATGGTAATTGTTGATGAACTTATGACATTTTACTTTTTTATTGTCCTTTGACCATTCAATTTGTGCACTATATACATTGTAACATTTTCTTCAATTAAGCATGGAACGCATTTACAATTTTAGGGCTGAATGCACCAAGTACATTGCGGAACCTGCACTTGGTGAGTCTGGTGTAGGTGGTGCTATGGCAGCGTATGGGGCTTTTGATGCAATTGTAAGTATGGCACTGCAGAAATGAGTAGCTTTATGGAATGGTTTACATGAATTAGCTCACTTGGTGAGTCTGTTTCTGTTTTACGTACATTAATTTTGACAAGGCATGTTCTTCGTCTCTTTCTTGTTGAGTTGGAGAAATAAAAATGAATTGAGTGAACAACTTTAAATTTCATTTACCCTTTCCTTTTGTAAGCAACAAGAATAACAAATAATATATATCCTTTTCCATATTTATTCTCTATGAGTTGTGTTGTGTGTTTGCAACAATATACAAAATTTCATTTATTGCCCTGGTGGTACTTCACATGGATAATATGGATGGATAATCATATCCTGTGTTCTGTTCCATAATCTTGTTTTTCCCACGGTATGTGCATTCAAGTTATTACTCACAATCTCTGCTATGATCTCTAGCCTCATGTTTTATAGGAAATTATTCAATAATAATGTGGCATAGGATGTAAATACTATTACACCTCAAGTTCGCTAAAAGTTAAAAACCCAGGAAAACCATCTTTGTTTTATAATTTGTCATTTGTTTGATTCATTAAGTTTTTTAGACTCAGTTTATATCTGGAATATGTGTTAGTGTTCGCGGGCTATGGGTTGACTCACCTCTGGTCTCAAGTCAATCACTCTAATAGTTTGTGCTGGAGCTTTCATTTAGTTAATTGTACTGCTTTGGCTTCTATTGAAGTACATGTTAGGTTTCTTGTCGATTCCAATTAAAGTTATTTAGAATCTGAAGTTTTTAATTATATATATACTCCCTCCGTCCCATAATATTAGTCCCTTATTCCATTTTTCATTGTCCCAAAATATTAGTCCCTCTTCAAAAATCAAGTACAAAAATAATATTCATGGCAGCCGCATTGGGAATTGGGGATGGAATATTCAACACACAGCTTAATGCTTTGCTTGGGATGCTCTTTAAGCATGATATGGTAGTGATTTATTTTGTTTGTTTTACTAAGCCTTTTTTAGTTTGATTTATACTCTTTTTCACGTAAGTGTTGACACGAGAAAGTGATGGACATGTGTCCAAAGCGTGTCTAGATCTAAAAAATATAAAAAAATAATAAAATTAATGACACATTTGGACGTGTATCCGACACATTCTTAGAGGTGTTCGTGCTTGGATCTAATTGAGAGGCAAGTGGGATGAAACTATGTATTTTTTTATTTATAAAAAAATAAATAAATCAGTGGATGTGATTGTGAAAACGTATGTTTTATGGTTGAAGACAAGGTATATTGAGATTCTTGAGACGTAAATTTCATATATTGAAGGAAATTAGGAGAACTTATTCCTTTAAGAAAGTTAAAGATATGGGTTCCACAAGTGTTCTCCTAATTGAACAATTAAACAAATAGGAGAAAATTGACTTTTGTGTGTTATACTCTCCTTTATAATGTTAGTTATCTTAATGATTTTCATACTTACGTCTGATTTATTTCTCATTCAAGTATATTAAAGATATTTGGCCCTCACTTTTTCTTGGTCATTTCTTTGTGCAAATGCACTTGCATTTAATTCTCAAATGTTACTTTTGGGGTGTACAGGAAGGAGCATTTGCACAGCTCAAGGTTTGGCAATGTGTTTTGATCGCAATTGTGTTTTTTGTGAGCCCTTACATTTCTTTGCATGCTGTGTTAGTGGTTATGCTTGTTGCAGTCTGCATCTATGTTGGCGGGTTTCTATTCCTCACTCTTATGGTCGAGAAAGCATTCTCTTGTGCTGATTGATTTTTTGCAACTGGATACGTAATAAATATTTATTGCCAAAACATGTATTATTCACGTCTTACACATTGATTGCCTCAGAAAGTTGTATCTGCCTGTGAAATCTATTAAATAAGAAAATATGTTCACCTGTTAATGTTTCTTCAAAAGAAAAGTATTGAAAGGCTAATTTGAATGTAATTATCAGTATTGTTCTTTTCTATTTGAGAATAGAGTCTATGAGAAAGTTGGCAATTAGTGCAAGTACTATTTTGTGGAATATAGACATCTTTTGTGTGCTAGGCCTGCCTAAATTGGAACCTAGATTACCTCTTTCAGATTTTTATTGATTTATGAAAGAGATTGTTTTTGCTTACATGAACAACTGCATAAATTAAAGGGTAAATTACATTTTGCCCCTTAAAGTTTCACCCATTTTCCACTTTGGCTTTTTAAGTTTAATTTTTCTTACTTTGGCTCTTCATGTTTGTAATATTTCTCACTTTGACCTTTTAAGTTTAATTTTTTTCACTTTGGCTTTTTATGTGTGCAATCAATTTTACTTTGGCTCTTTATATTCGCAATCCTTTTACTTTATCCCTATACTAATTTTCATCCAAAAAACTAACAGAATCTGTCACATCACTAACACATCAACTCCATGTGTGATGTAAAAAACTCACTAAAGATGTAAAAAATAAAAAATAAAAAATAAAAAAATTGGAATTTTTTTTTTTTTTTTGTCTTTGGTGAACTTTATTTTTCAAATTTATTCATAAACATTATTACATTATAGATGCATTTAGATTAGATGCAGTTCAAAAAAATTAAAATGAATTTAACTAAATTTATCCATAAACATTATTACATTATAGATGTATCGAGAGTAGAAGCAATTAAAAAAATTTAAACAAATTTAACTAAAAAAAGAAAAAAGTTTACTGACTTGAATCCCTGTATTGTCAGTTCTGAAATGAAAAATTTATTATCATTTTTTTTTTCGTCTTTAGAGATTTTTTTTTAGAAGTTAAATTTGTTTTTATTTTTTTAGTTGTATCTAATCTAGATTAATTTATAATATAATAATGTTTATGAATACATTTGAAAAAAAAGTTCACGAAAGATTAAAAAAATTAGTTAATTTTTTTATTTTTTGCATCTTTAGTGAATTTTTTACATCATATATGGAGCTGATGTAATAAATTTTGTTACCTTTTTGGATGAAAGGTAGTCTGGGAGTAAAATGGGAAGGATTACAAATATGAAGGGCTAAAGTGGGAATGATTACAAATATGAAGGGTTAAAAGTGAGAAAAATCGAACTTAAAGGGCTAAAGTGGGAAGGATTGCAAACATGAAGGACCAAAGTGGGAAGGATTGTAAAAATAAAGGGTGAAAGTGAAAAAAAATCAAACTTAAATGGGCAAAATGAGAAATGGGTAAAACTTTAAGGAGGCAAATAAACAAGAATTACAAAAATATGTTAGGTTGGTTCATATCTTGTCTTTAAGACCATTTTCAATGGTTCATCAAATTTAAATTTGATGAAAATACTCACTTTTTGTTGTTCCAACCTTTCACCAAAATTTTCATAAAATTTAGGATTTCTCAAATCTTTCATTAAATTGAAGATAGATGTGCCTTTTATTAAATCACTGTTCATATCTGTTAGAATTTTACCACCGGATGTCCCCTCAGATGACCATCTCAATATAAAAAATTTTGAAAAAATTACACTGGCCGGTCGATCAGCTAGACATCTGCTCGGTTGTTCGCCAGGTCGATCAGTGTTTCGATGAAGTCTTAAAAATCTCCGTTGGAGCACTTGATATCAAATTGAACTTTTATTCAAATTTGATGAAAAATAGATGAACTGTTGGAAATGTTCTAACTACTTAACAAATGTGAACTAACATTATTTCATTCGTAAAATTTTTTGTTACATTATTAGTTGCGAGTATCATGTGAATAACTTTTTATATTAAGATACTCTTTTCATGCAAAATTTTTCACAAAAATAATATGATAATGTCATTTTTATAAATAAATTTAAATTTATGAATTATACCTGTTTTGTTTTAAAATGAAACATCTATATATCAAACCACATTATAATAAACTTTTTATTCATAAATCATTATTTCTTATACCATATATCAAACCACATTATAATAAACACACACATACACACACATAATTTAAAAACTCTTTAGTGTGTTTTTTTTTTATCAAATGTAACACATAAAAACTCCTTATTGTATTTTTTCAAATGTAACACTCTAATATAACACTTCAATGTAACACCGAAAAACCACATTAACAGAAATGTAAATTTTCATGTTCAACACCAACACTTCAGCCACCAATTCCTTCAAAAAGAATCTTTTATACCTCACATTTCCATTCTCATTCCAAAAATGTATCGGAAAATTAGAAAAATAAATCAGAAAAAGGCATTTACTTAAACTCAAATGATATCAAATCAAATGAATACAAATTTTTAAAACAAAAATGACTAATTGGTTCATAAGAAAACTCTTAGAATTAAATGGGTCAACATTCCCCCGTATGAGATTTGTGAGTAAATTTTTCTTTATTTTTAAAATCTCAAAAGAAATAATTTAATTTATCAATATAAAAAAAGTAATTAATTAGATCCCAAACCATGATAAAAGCCAATCACTTCCACCTCACAAAATGCCTCTTCACTAACACAAAAATTCCTCCATTGATGATGTTCACCGTAATTTTTTGGTATTATACTAATGAACACAACTATTCTCTTTCAAAACTCAACACTGTATCACAAGTCTATTAGGGTTCAACACGGCCTTTTCATGGGGTCCACTCCAACTAACTTTTAAGATTTGAAGCCAATTATTCATGTTAAAATTAATCTAGAGGACATGGCCAATGCTGGGTAATTCTAGTGACACTATGCAGAAATCTTTGGATCGAATTTTAAGCTTGTTTGTGACATATGGCTGAATTTCACTGGAGTTAGGTGGTGAGTCCCTTCCTTTAAGTTGGGTTAAATCAGGCTGGCAACTAGTTACCATGGGACTTGAGTCCATCGATGCAGTGATGACACATTAGAGTATCCCTTTTTTTTTTTTTTTTTTTTTTTTTTTTTTTACAATATAAAAAAAAATGGCTAATCATATAATTAAATTCTATTTGTAAGTATCCAGTACGGATACAACATGTTTGTTAAATTATCTATGCTTTATAGTCTCAAAATAATTCAAAATGAGAATTTTTATTTTTTTAATTTTTTTTTGCAAAGTATATATTTATTTACGGCAAATTACAAACACCCTCTCGAGGTTTGCCTATTGTGGATCAATCTTAATAATTTGAATTATTTATCTTACAAGGCTTGTTGAGTAGATAATTTATACAAAAAATTAAGTTAATCGAATATTGTTTGCCACATGATGGGAACAAAAAAAAAATGAAAAAATGTATGGCATGCATCATTTTAGGAATTGGTAATTTATTTATTTATTTTTTTTAAATGTGATTCTATCGTGTGGATATTGATATCTGATTAACGTGATTTTTGGTATAGATGATTTACTTAAAGGGTCTTACAAGATGAACGATTCGAATTATCGAAATAAACTCACAATAGACAAATTTTACCGTGCAGGCTATACCCTTTCAAAATAATTTTTGTTGTTTACTTTAGGGTAAATTACAAATACACCTCTTGAGGTTTGCTTAAAATACAAATTGCCCCCTGTAGTTTGGAAAATTACAAATACCTTGTTGTCAGAATTTTTTATTTAACAAAATTAATTGAAAAAGTTAAATTTCTAATTGTTAATCTATACAATAATAAAATTTTCTGAATTAGTAATTGAAATAAAATTTTAACATTATTAAAAAATGTTAATTAACTTAATGATTTATTAATAAAAGGACCTATTTGTTATGAAATTAAAAACCTTAGGGGCCATAATGTAATTTATAGAACTAGTAATTTGTAGAACTATAGGGAGTAATTTATAATTTAAATAAATCTAAGGGGTATATTTGTAATTTATCCTTTACTTTTTTTATTAACTGGTGTTAAGCCCATGATCTGCATGACTAATGTATATATATCTTTGACATATTCATTTTATCTTAATAAAATACAATAAAAATCACTGTATAGTACATAATAAACACAAAAGATTAAAAATTATGTGAAACTTGATAATGCAAGGATAAATTGTAAATCAGTTAAACAAATTAAATTATTTCAAAATTAAATGCAAATCAATCCAAATAATAATGCAACTAAATATACACCAATTTTTCATCCATTTAAACCAAAAGTAATAATAAAAATTGTTTGATGATGAAATATCATTACATTTATTTTATACGTTCAAAGTTTTTTGCAATAGTTGCCGAATATAACAGGCCACTAAACAACAGGGGAAAAAAATTAAAATTAAGTTAAATTATGAGTAAGAAATTAACAAAACAGAAACAAATTATATTAGTAGTCCCTACATTTTATCTGTTATATCATTTCGCTCTCTACACTTTTAATTTAATCAATTTTGACTCTTAATTTTAAATTTTGTGACTCTTAATCAATTACTCCTACTATTTCCAAATTTATGTAGACATAAAGTTACAAAAATTCCACGTCTCTTCCATTCTATAATTTTTTTTTCCAATCTAAAGAAATGTACTCCATTAATTGGTCTTCCCTTAAAAAAATACTTAAACTAAGAAAAAAAATATACGCATACATACTTTGATTTTCAAATAGCCACATGATCGGTAAAACTTCTAAGTAAATTCTCTTATATTGATAGTAAAAACTCTTTTCGATTCCTCTTACATTGTACTAAAAATTCCTTAGGATTCCCTTACGTCATTATAAGAAGGATGTCAAACCCAAGATTATCATCACTTTTGTTTTATCTTTAGGAGAGAGCTTGGTGCTCTTGTTGTGCTAGAGCTAGATTTCGCCGGCTATAAAAATAATATTTTTGTATTTTGCATTTTTTTCATTTATACAAAAATAAGTATAAAAAAACTTTATTAAAAAAAAAAGATATATACAAAGAAATTGGCTAAAATAACCCAACAACAACTCGTATTAAATAGAGAATATGAATATCCATGCGTCATTTAAAATATGTGGATCATATTCATAATTTAATTTGCACAATTCGCTTGTTTTGCAAACTAAAATCTCTGAATAATTTTTTTTGTATTT